CGGAGCCGCGGCGCCCGCTCCGATCGGCTTGGGGCTGCGCCCCCGGGACCCGGGACCCGGCGACGGGGGCGGGCGGGGGCGCTCCCCGCCGGCCCGGGCCCCTCGGCAGTGCCAGGTAAGGGCGCCTGCCCGGAGTCCGGGGTCGGGAATCCGCGGAGGGGCAGCAGGGGACCTGCAGCCTGCGGGTGTCTTCAGAGCCGTGCGCTCTGTGGCCGGGAGCCCACTGCCGGATCCCTTCTCCCGCGCTCCGCCTCTTTCCCTTCTTCCCTCGCACCTCTCTCCCTCTTTTTCCTCTCTCGATTTCTCTTCACCCTTCCTTCTCCCTGACTGTTTGCCGTCTCTGCCCCTTCCTCTCTCTCCCTCTTGTCCATCTTTTCCCACCTCCTCTCCCTCTTTGCATTTGTCTTCTATCCTTCTCCCTTCTTTCTCTTTTCCCCTTCCCGCTCTCCTTTCCTTCCCCGGTTCCCTCCCTCGCTTCTCCTCTTCCCTTCCCGCTATCCTGTTTCCCACTCCTCTATCCCTTCCTTCTCTCCTCGTCGTCCCACCTCCCTCTCTGGTCCCCAGCTTCCCTCGGCTTCCTTCTTCCCTCAGGAGCAAACGGACTGTCAGGTGTGTGTCTGCCCTAGGGGAGGAGGGGCGGAAGCGACAGCTACCTGAGGGGTCTCCCCCAGGAGGAGTGGGAGGAGAGCAGAGGGAAGGGTCCTCTGTAGCTTCGTTCCCGCAGCCCCTCCCTACCTCCACCCCTCCTGCTGCTCCCTCTCCCAGAATGAAGTTCCTGAGGCCTGGTCTGACACCCCCGCAGCTGAGAGCTGCCTCTGCTGCCTGCCCATCACACTTGCCGAAAGCCCCTCTGTGCGCGCGCGCGCGCACACACACGCGCACACACACACACACACCCCGTTTACCAGTTTCCAAGCCTGGTCCCTATGACTTCTCTCTGCCTTTCAGACACCCCAGCCTGCCTGCCTGATGTCTTTCGTTCTGTCTCTTCCTGCCATTCTGTCTCTCTCACTCTGTCTTCTGTCTCTCTGCCGGACAGTCCGAGTCTTGGTCTAGCCCCCAGTCATCACACTGTGTCTCTGGCCTCTGCTTACCCCCTCCCCAGTCTTCTCAACTTGCCCCCAACCCTGCCCCTTCTTCTTCCAGCTCTGGCCCCCCATTCTGTCTCATGACCCTAGTTCCCCTTCAAGGACTGCAACTGGCAGTTTAGGGGTGGGAAGCATCTGGAGAGGTGGGGTTCTCCCTGCGGAAAGGGCTTTCACTGGCTCAGTCCTGTCTTAGGCTGCAGCACTCCTTGTCATATCTCAGTCTGACCCTAGGCACGTTACGCCACACCTCCATGAATCCCAACCCCTTAATGTTAAGCCCTTTCTCTGAAAGCCTTACCTTCTCCAGTCCCCTGGCTGCATGCCCAACCAGGAGGACAGGAGCCAGGTTTGGGATTCTGAGCCCTCCCATCATCCCCTCTCCTGTTTTCCTCCCTGGCTTCTCTCCTCAGAGTTGACTGACCAGAGATTTATCAGCTTGGAGGGGTGGAGGTGAATGCAGGCAGAGCGTGGTGGATGGAAGAATCAGACTGTTCTCTTAGTCTGAGTTCTGGGCCATAGGGTGTCTGGTTCCTTGGAGATCTGGTCTTCAGTATCTACTTTTGGAGGGGAGCTGGGTTAAGGGTTTCCTTGACCCTGAACAGTTACCTGTCCTGCAGGTGTGGATCCATGGGGTAACCCCAACGCATCTGCCCTCCACCCCAGCCAGCTCATGGGCCACTTGGCCCAGCCCAGCCCCAGCACCTGGAGCCAGTGAAAAGAGCCCTGGCTGGAGTCCAAACATGTGGAGCCTGGTGAGGCTCCTGCTGGCCTGGCTGGGTGGCTGGGGCTGCATGGGGCGTCTCGCAGTCCCAGTCCGGGCCTGGGCAGGGTCCCGGGGGCACCCAGGGCCTTCATTGCTGCGGACCCGAAGGAGCTGGGTCTGGAACCAGTTCTTTGTCATTGAGGAATATGCTGGTCCGGAGCCCGTCCTCATTGGCAAGGTAAGGATTAACCTCTCCCATGTCTACTCTGACTCAAGGCCCTTAGTCCCTGCCCTGCAACTTCATCACTTCTTCAATGACCTTGGTCCCTCAGGACTCCCAACACCCCACCTAAACCTAAACTCTTTAACCCTCTGTCCCTGCACTTGGAGCCCTCTGCCATCTTTCCCTGACCCCTACAGCTGCACTCAGATGTTGACCGGGGCGAGGGCCGCACCAAGTACCTGTTGACTGGGGAGGGGGCAGGCACCGTATTTGTGATCGACGAAGCCACAGGCAATATCCATGTCACCAAGAGCCTGGATCGGGAGGAGAAGGCACAATACGTACTACTGGCCCAAGCTGTGGATCGAGCCTCCAACCGGCCCCTGGAGCCCCCATCAGAGTTCATCATCAAAGTTCAAGACATCAATGACAATCCACCCATCTTCCCCCTTGGGCCTTACCACGCCACAGTGCCCGAGATGTCCAACGTTGGTGAGCAACCCAGCTCTGGACGTCGCAGTCCCCCGACCTGGAGCTCCCTTACCTCTCCTTTCCCCATTGCTGTGCCCCAGAACCCTACTCCTTCAGTTTAGCCTCCCTCATATCTGGGTCCCCTCACCTGCTGTTCTTCCCTATCTGGCCCTGCTGCTGCTGAGTGGGGTGCCGGGATCCCCCGCAGGGACCTCAGTGATCCAGGTGACTGCTCACGATGCTGATGACCCTAGCTATGGGAACAGCGCTAAGCTGGTGTACACCGTGCTGGATGGACTGCCTTTCTTCTCTGTGGACCCCCAGACTGGTGAGGATGGAGCTCAGGAGCCTGGTGGGGCAGCCATGGGAGCAGACACCCCCTGACCCAGCGTCTCTCCCTAGGAGTGGTGCGTACAGCCATCCCCAACATGGACCGGGAGACACAAGAGGAGTTCTTGGTGGTGATCCAGGCCAAGGACATGGGTGGCCACATGGGGGGGCTGTCGGGCAGCACTACAGTGACTGTCACCCTCAGCGATGTCAATGACAACCCTCCCAAGTTTCCTCAGAGTAAGGGGCCAGTGCTGTTGCCTGAGCTATCCTTTGACCACCCCACCTCTACAGCCTCTGAAGAAACCTTCCCTCCTCACCCCCTCCCTAGCCAGTCCCTGGGAGAAGGAAGTGCTGGGGTTAGGGAGGAGGTTTGGGGACCTCTCTAAGAATATGTCTCCCCTCCATCCACCCCAAGGTCTGTACCAGTTCTCTGTGGTGGAGACAGCTGGGCCTGGCACCCTGGTGGGTCGGCTCCGGGCCCAGGACCCAGACCTAGGGGACAACGCCCTCATGGCATACAGCATCCTGGACGGGGAGGGGTCCGAGGCCTTCAGCATCAGCACAGACTCCCAGGGTCGAGATGGGCTCCTCACTGTCCGCAAGGTTAGCCTCCTGCCTGCTAACACCTGCACATTCACATATACCTGCCTCCTGTCCCACCCACTGGGCACATTTCTCAGAACCCTTGTGTTGGAGCTAAGAGATCAAGGTCATCTCCTCCTCTTTCAGATGAGGCCCTGGGGCCTAGAAAAGGGAAGTAACTGGCTCAAGGTCATGTAACAAGTCTATGATGGAGCTGGGGGCAGGCCTAGAGTTACCAACTAAGTAATCTGCTACCCATCCTGGCCACTGAAGTCACTGCCCCTTCAGTGTCACCTCTCCTCACATGAGGACTGAGCACTGGATGCGTGTGGGGCCTGTCCTTGTTTTCACATGCCTCACTCACCCTCTGTCTTCCCTCACCATAGCCCCTAGATTTCGAGACCTGTCGTTCCTACTCCTTCCGTGTAGAGGCCACCAACACACTCATTGACCCAGCCTACCTGCGGCGAGGGCCCTTCAAGGACGTAGCCTCGGTGCGTGTGGCTGTGCAGGATGCCCCAGAGCCACCTGCCTTCACCCAGGCTGCCTACCACCTGGCAGTGCTAGAGAACAAGGCTCCTGGGACCCTCGTGGGCCAGATCTCAGCTGCTGACCTGGATTCCCCAGCCAGCATAATCAGGTGAGCTGGGGTGTGGGCTGGGGAGGAGTAGGGCCTCTGGGAAATGGGGGATAGACTATTCCCAGACAAAGGTGTGCCCCCTTTACCTTACCACAAATCACATTCACCTCCTAGCAGAGGTCTCCCTGTGGGCCAAGGGAGGGCAGGAGAGCCTGGCTAACCTACTCCCCAACTCTCCACCAGTCTCTCCGGGTAGATAATAGTGGCACCTCCCAGTGGTAGTGCAAGCAGATGTAATCTCATTTGATAAGTGGATCTCTATTGATCACTCCCTAAGTGTTTCACATTTTACCCACTTGATAACATTTAATTCTCACAACAACCCTATAGCCCTATGAAGTAGGTGTTATCACCACCAGTTGTTTTAGAGGCCAGCCATGAGTGGTTAAGTAATTTGCCCAAGGTCACGCAGTTAGTATGGGATTCAAATCCAGAGTTGTCTGCCTCAAGAACAGCCACTCTCTCCACCTCCTGGGCCAGCATACCTGTCACTACTCTGTGAGGGAGGTGTTGGTTGTCATTCCCATTTTGCAGTTGGGTAAACAGAGATTAAACAATTTGCCCAAGGTCACACAGCCAGAGCTGAAACAGGTCCCTGCGTCCCCAGAACAGAGCCCAGAAGTCTGAAAGACAGGTAGTGTTTATCCCCTTTCCACCTCTTTCTGTATCTCTTTCCCTACCCCCATGAAATCCAGTCCCCCTGAGTCTTAGGACAGGTGTCTAATGGTGGTGACCTCCCAGGGATATTTGCCTTTTAAGGGGATTCCAACCTCCACGTGGCTGTGAATGCATGTGGCAGGCTCTGCCCAGCTGAACCTGAGGCCTAGCTAGTGGACAGAGGGAGGGAGGGAGTGGCAGCAGCAGATCAGTCCCCAGCGCACTCCTTCTTCCCCAGATATTCCATCCTCCCCCATTCGGACCCGGAGCGTTGCTTCTCTATCGAGCCCGACGATGGCACCATCCGCACATCAGTGCCCCTGGACCGTGAGGCTCGTGTCTGGCACAACCTCACAGTGCTGGCCACAGAGCTTGGTGAGGAGTCCTGGGCCCACGAGGAGGCAGCAGCCTCCAGGCAGAGGGGCTGTCCCTGACTTGGGTGGAAGGGCGCTACCACCATCACACCCTCACCAGTGTACAGCCACGGCTCCCTGGCCTGGGTCCTCACCACCAGGCAGCCCTCCTGGCCTCCTAGGCTGGGCTGGGCCAGGCACAGAGGGTCTGCCCAAGCATTCTCCTGACCCTAAATGCACGCCCTTACCTGACTTGCCCCAACCCAGGAATAAAATCAGGCCTCAAATAGCTCCAACCTGTGGGCTGGCAGACCCTGTCCTGCCTACTCTCTGCTTCAGGCTGGAGCTGGGGGCCAGAAAAGGGCTGGGCACTTCCTCTGGGGGGTAGTACACCAGCAACTCCTCCCAGAAAAGCCCTTTGAGGAACCCCCAAGGTGGGCTCCTCCTACCCATCAGTCACCAGCAGCCTCTGGGCAGCCCTGGCCTGTGGAGACAGGGTGGGCTGGGCACTTCCTCTGGGGGGTAGTACACCAGCAACTCCTCCCAGAAAAGCCCTTTGAGGAACCCCCAAGGTAGGCTCCTCCTACCCATCAGTCACCAGCAGCCTCTGGGCAGCCCTGGCCTGTGGAGACAGGGTGATCTCCTTCCCTTCTGTGAATAGCGCCTTATTGCCCCTGCTTACACCCCAGGGGCTCCTACACCCTGCTGTCTTCATACTGTATATGAAAGTTGTCATTGTGTATGTAGACATCTGTACATGTCAGTGAAGAGCTATATGAATGTGTGCATGTGGGTACGTACTCAGGTATGTGTATAGTTCCATGTGTGTAAAAATATATATATATATATATATACACATGCACACATATATATATCTGTGAGTATATGTCTATAACTGGATATATATGTGTTTACAAGCAAGTGTTTGTATAGAATTAATTTACATTATTTGTGCATGTGCGTGATTGGGTGTGTATAGTAGTATGTACATGTAGCTGTTCGTATATATTGTTTGGTGTATGCGGTGTTCATGGACAAATAATAATTTACTACTTATTGTATATCAGACACTATTTTAAGTACCAAAAATGGATTAATTAACTTAATCATCACCACAACTTTATGAGAGAGGTATGATTATTTCCCCACTTTATTTTATTTATGTATTTATTTATTTATTTATTTATTGGTGGCTGGCTGGTATGGGGACCCAAAAAGTTGACCTTGGTGTTAGCACCACACTCTAACCAACTGAGCTAACCAGCTAGCCTTATTTCCCCATTTTAAAATGAGGAAACCCAGGCAAAGAGAAGTTAAGTAACTTCCCAAGGTCACACAGAGATTAAGTGGTGGAGCCTTCAGACTCAGTCTGTCTGCAAAGTCTGAGCTGTTATCTTCTCCACCAACTGCTTCTCGTATGCATCTTATTGTACATGTCTAGGATTACGTTTCTGTATATGCAACTGTGCGCTACATAAAATAAAATAAAATAAAATAAAATGAGGAAACCCAGGCAAAGAGAAGTTAAGTAACTTCCCAAGGTCACACAGAGATTAAGTGGTGGAGCCTTCAGACTCAGTCTGTCTGCAAAGTCTGAGCTGTTATCTTCTCCACCAACTGCTTCTCGTATGCATCTTATTGTACATGTCTAGGATTACGTTTCTGTATATGCAACTGTGCGCTACCTGACGGTGCGTGTGTGTCTGTAGTTGTGTGGATGTCTGTGTGGATGGCCCTGTGTGTACGTGTGTGCATATAGTATGTTTGTGGCTGTGTATGCTTGTGTGGTTCTATGTGTGTGTGTTTCCCCTCTCTGTCTTCTCACCCCCCTGCCAAATCCTGCTCCTACCCCTACTCCAATATCAACTAGTAGCCTTGGAAGGAGTGAACCCCTTCCCCATTCTGTCTCTGGGATACCCCAAACCCTTTAGCCAGTCAGTCCACTCAGCCTCCCCTGCCCAGGCTACGACCTCAGCCCCTTTCACCAGGGCCAGCCAGCTCACCCCCTGCATAAGGGGAAGACTAAAGGAATTGAGAGACTCAGCCTGGGACTTGTGACAGGGATACACACTTTGCATTCTCTCTGACATGGCACTGGCATTGAGAAGCACTGTAGGGTAATGGTAGGGAACCCCCTGATGAACGGATAGTTGAAGAAGGGCCTGTGTCTGGTTGTAGTGCCCAGGCTGGCCTGGACTCTGTACCCTGTAGATCATGTAACTCCTCCCTCCCCAAGGTCAACTCTAAGTGATACTCATTGCTGTGTGTGTGTGTGTGTGTGTGTTCATTCCACTGGTGCTGTGCATGACCTCTGTGCATGAAAATGTATTCTCTATATGTGGGGTTGGGGGGCGGGGTGACACTGCATTCCCTGTGCATACCAAACATCTGCTTCATGTATGTTGCATTTGCTTTAAATGCTGAGTGCACATCAAATATATGTTATGAATGTGTTTGTATATTTCATGACTGTTGTCTGCATGCAATCTGTATGCTCCCTATATCTACCTTTCATATATGCCCCGAACATGGGTTTTTGTGTATATGTACCATGGGTACTGCATTCCTGTTGAACGTGTATTCTGTATTACACATATCGGGTACTACATGAATATCATATGCATTTGGTGTTCTTCCATTCTTTTCACAATATTATTTGATACTTGTATATTTCATGCCTATTTCATATATTGCATGTGCACGCAATGTGCTGCATGTGGCATCCATGCCCATGCACCATGTATGTTGTGTGTAAACTATGTTGTGTGTGCACATGTGGTACGTATGTGTTGGTGTTCTGGCTTCAGATAGCTCCGCACAGGCCTCCCGCGTGCAAGTGGCCATCCAGACCCTAGATGAGAATGACAATGCTCCCCAGTTGGCTGAGCCCTATGACACCTTTGTGTGTGATTCTGCAGCCCCTGGCCAGGTGAGCAGCTGAGGCAGAGGAGTTGGGACTTCAAGGCCTCCAGCAGCCCCCTCCATACAAGGCCTCTCTTCTCCCAGCTGATTCAGGTCATCCGAGCCCTGGACAGAGACGAAGTTGGCAACAGTAGCCGTGTCTCACTTCAAGGTCCTCTGGGCCCTGATGCCAACTTTACTGTGCAGGACAACCGAGGTGGGTGGCCTCCTATAGCTGTGCCTATGCCTACCTCCCTCCTCCTCTCCTCCACCACCCCAGCCCAGCCTGCCTGACCCCTTCCCCACCTGTCTGGGCCTTCTACCAAAGGGAAAGTAGGTGTGGATTTAGACTCACTTGTTTGCTCTTTGCAAACCTTCCCCAGGGGAAGCTGGCTCTGTGGGCTGGTCCGACCCTACCAGGAAGGTGTCCCAAAAGGTGCCCCAACACCTTCCCTCTCCCACAGATGGCTCTGCCAGCCTGCTGCTGCCCTCCCGTCCTGCTCTGCCCCGCCAGGCCCCCTACCTGGTTCCCATAGAACTGTGGGATTGGGGGCAGCCAGCACTGAGCAGCACTGCCACAGTGACTGTCAGCGTGTGCCGCTGCCGGCCTGATGGCTCTGTGGCCTCCTGCCGGCCCGAGGCTCAGCTCTCACCCACTGGGCTCAGCACTGGTGCCCTGCTCGCCATCGTCACCTGTGTGGGCACCCTTCTTGGTGAGTCAGGTCACAAAGGAACACAGATGTGGGATCCTAGCCTTCAGGGGTGTGGAGAGGAACCTGGAAGTAGTTGTAGGGAAATCCACCCTGGGGCTTGAAGGACCTCTCATGCCTGGATTTTCCCACCACCCCATAAGGTACATACATCAAAGAGGAAAGCTCTAGCCTCATATCCCTGACCTGCCAATCCATAATGACAGTAACAAGCCATAAAAATTATTTATTGAGCCCCTACTCTGTGCCAAGTACTTGTGGCATTTCATTTTATCCTTTCAACAAACCTAGGAGGTAAATATGTTTTCCCTATTTTTCACACAAGTAAATGAAGGGTCAAAGATTTACAGAAGTTGAGCAACTTCCCATGGTCACACAGTGAGTAAGGGGTGAAGTCAGGATTCAAAGCAAGGTTTTCAAGATGTCAAACCTAGGGCTTGCAAACCCAGGCCGCCCTGCCTCTATCACCTGCTCCGCTGCCCTGCCGGCTCAGCGGCCTGTGTGCGCGTCTCTCGAGCAGCCCTGGTGGTGCTCTTCGTGGCCCTGAGGCGGCAGAAGCAGGAAGCACTGATGGTACTGGAGGAGGAAGACGTCCGCGAGAATATCATCACCTATGACGACGAGGGCGGCGGCGAGGAGGACACGGAGGCCTTCGACATCACGGCCCTGCAGAACCCCGACGGGGCGGTCCCGCCGGCTCCCGGCCCACCCGCACGCCGCGACGTGCTGCCCCGGGCCCGGGCGCCACGCCAGCCCAGGCCCCC